TCTTGGCTTGCTCTTTGGCACAAAAGTGCAAGATGAAACTTTGCTAAGAATTAAAAACAAAACAAAACAGGATAATCTATTTTGGGAGCACATTCTTTTGTCAGATGAGACCAAGATAAATTTGTTAGGATCAAATAGGGATCAGCATGTTTGGTGTGTACCTGACCAGGACTAGCAGAGTGAATGCATAGTCCTGGCAGTTAAGCACGGAGGAGTGTGATGATATGGGGCTGCATGAGTGAAAAAAGCTCTTTGGGAGATGACATTTATAGAAGGGACCATGAATGCCAGAGGATATAGTAAAATACTGACTGACAAGATGACTCTCAGTCTGCAGAAGCTTGGCAGACGAGGAATATTCCAGCATGATAAGCATCCAAAGCACACTGCCAAAATCACATAAGAGTTTTCTAAATTGTAACTTTGTCCTACACCTTGTAAAGCGTGAACTTGCACAACACATTACGGAAGATCCATGAACTTGAAGTGACATGCTGACATTGCGTGCGACTGCTTGAGCAATACAAATGCAGCCATGGACAACAGTTGTGCTGTTCCTAACCACCTACTGGAATGATGACTCATTGGTGTTCTTTCCTTAGACATATGCAGTCGAGGCAGTTTAAAAAAACATGGTGCTTCTTAAAAACAAGGTCAGTGATTTTTTTGTTCGGATGAATGCTTATGCAATCAAGCTGAGTCCATATTTGTTTTTCTTTCATGCGGGAACCAGGCTGGCCTCAGGGGTAGAGGGACAAGTCTGGCTTAGGGGACATTTTTCTTTCCTTTTTTTTTTTTTTTTCCACATTCAGCTCCGGTCACCTCTGAGCTTTGAGAGAACAACACTGCCAGGACCGATGGAGGCCGAGCTGTGATCTAACAACAGCTGACACACTGGTGGGGAGTAGCTGTGAACAAACCACTCTGCTGCTGCTGCTGCTGCTGCTGCTGCAGACGCTCCACCAGCCACAGTCACATTCCCCCCCATCTGGAAAGTGCCTCATTGTTTACAGATGCAGCAATGCGGAAAAGGAAAATATCTGCACTCTCCCAGGTTTAATTTCATCTCAGCCCATTTACCTATTGTTGCTCATCTGCCTCAAACCTGAGCGCAGCAATAATAGAACTCTGTCGCCCTCAGCCGTAACACCTCTCTGCCGCTCAGAGAAGGTGGCTAAGGCTGCCTGAGCAGCCACAGAGAGGAATTTATCAGTGTCAGACACACCGCACAGAGGACTCACCACAACACAGTTGTCAGCATAATTTGGCTGCCTCATAATCTCCGACTCTGCAGCCCTGGGGATTATTCAACTTTTTACCTCTATTCAGTGGCAAGTAATATCTTTCTGTGTTTTGCTGCGGGGTGCAGAGGGCTATCTGAGCCCAGAGCAGGGCTGACTTTGTGTTTGAACTGTCTGACCAGTGGAGGAATGATTGGCATTTACAGATGAGGAGGAGCAGCACAGTTATAACAGAGCTGGATAGTCAGAGAAATGATGAGAGAGAATTTACACAAAGCCACCTGAGTCAAAACTGTAGACTACTATACAGGGACCTGTGTAGCTAATGATGCCATATGGACTTCCACTATCAGCTCGTGAAGTTTGAACTTAATAAAGATAAAAGAAAATCTTGACCACACTAAACATTTTGCCACTGTTAGTATTTCAACTTGTGCTATGATGAGGTTTGATTTCATAGATTCTCAAGGATTGTAATTCATTTTGTTTAAGACTAATTTAGTGTTTTTGTTTGTAAATCTCCAGATCATTTGTTCAAACTCTTAAACAACTCAATGATTAACATCCTCAAATGACCAACCCCTTTTATCAGTTCTGTTATACAGCCGCAGAAAAAGAAGTGTCTGAGGTGGACACGTACAGTGATGTCATATCATTACCTACCAAATGCTTCTTTCTTTTTACTTTGTACTAAAAACCTTTAGTTATCTATGCTCCATAACACCTTAATCAAAGAGGCAGCAGAGCGAAAATGCAAATATATTCTATTAAATATACATTTTATGACATAATTGTGGAAAGCAGTGACAAGCAGCGCTGTCTTGTTGTGAGAAGCATCACATCACTAATTGCCTCCACTGTATGATAGGGTTTTAGAAGGTTTAATTGGAAATTTACAGTAACAGGTGAAATAATAAAATATAACTTCTTATGTTTTCCATACAATAACAATACAGCCTTACAGGTGACGTCCCTATGCAACTAAACTGCATTCACAATGACTTTCTGAAGAAAATATATTTTCTGCCAGATCACATTTGATTGTGACATATCACGAATGCATTTCAATCATTGCCATTTTGTTATTGCTTTACTCTCACTTATTTGCAGTCAACTGATTCTGGTAACCCTGAAAATTCAAACCCAAACCATAATGTTTCACATAACCTAACCATGTAGTTTTGGCACCTGACCAAGCTCCTGACATAGAGTTATGAAAGCCTCAACCAAACCGTGACATTTAATAACACAGTTTGGCCGTCTAAGTCTAACCAAAGAAAAAAAAGAAAAAAAGAAAACTTAAGCTTCAGATTAATGGCCCCACATGGGACACAAACCCCAGTCTCCTGAATAAAAGTCCTGCTGACTTAAGCCTCCATCGTCCTCTTCTAACTTTCTAACTTTATATGTGGACTTTGCAGCTCTTTCAAACTGGAAGCCTGTCCTATAAAATCCCAGTTATATGTTTTGGTAAAAATCTATATTTCTTTCAAAACTTAAATGAGAATACAGTTTTGTGTAGGAATGTATATATATATATCTGTGACATGGGGTTGTAATAATAGTATAGGTCTAAGTGTTAAATGCTTAAATCAATATATGTTTTATTTATGACCAAGCATTGTGATCCTACACACAATTACTATGTAAATTGTGTGATATTAGAAATGTTTTTACTAAAACTTTCTTTTTTAATTATTCACACTACCAACACCTTGCATGAAAAAACACAAAAACTTTATTTGTCCCTTTTTAATTTGTGGGTTAACACACATTTAGGATGACTGCCATATTATTGCAGTTGTAAAACCTCACTAGATATCTATGGCTGTTGTTGTAATGAAGCCATGGAGCTGTTTGTGTGTTACATATTAACTGTTGTATATTAGTCTATGCAGTTTTTCTCACATTTGTACAAGTGCTCCATTGAGAACACAGCTGACCTCAACATCACTATCCTCCGTTGGCTTAGTGTGCATGTTTGCACCAGGACGACTCAATGAGAATTACACAGAAACACCTTTAAAAGAATCTCAGCATCACTTTGCTTAATGAAGGACAAAGGTATTATTATTTCTTTTAATAAGCTGAATGTAACTACTTAAAGGCGTGAGGGAGCTTCCATGATAACAACATGCTGCAGCAACTCTCATGAATTGTGGTTTTTCAAGTGAATAAAAAATAACTTGAAGCCAATATGTGCGACATTCTTATGCAACTATACGGACCTTCAAAGACATTCATAGGGCAGCTTTGTGCATCAAAACTTGAGACAGTCCTGGTGGACATGCTTTGAGTCCTCAGATGAGATCCCTTCGAGTCTTTCTTCATACAATTATGGGCTGGCCAAGATGTTAAATTTATAAACTTTTACATACTGAAGCTTTTAGTGGCGTGGTAACAATTAAGTAGTGTAGCAGTGAGAGCAATAAATCTGGAAAGGAATTTACTATAGCTTTAGCTAACCCGAGCTGCTGAGGCAGGGAGTTCCAGAGCCTGCAGCTCTCAGCCTGCAGCCAGACGACCCTCTTTAATAAGGTGATTTTTAAGAAGCACCAGAGGAGTCCTGCCTGAAGATCTCAGACTATCTCAGGGGGATGAACATTTCTAAAATACAGCTGGGAGCCTGGCTATGCAGTGCCTTAAATATTAACACTAAAGTCTTAAAATCAATTTTAAAACTCATAGGTATCCAGTTAGGAGTAGCATAAAAGGATAGAATGTGTTCACATCTCCAATTAGTTAAAAGCCCAGCAGCAACATTGTGGGTGTGCTGGAGGCAGGAGATTGACTGGTAGTGGATCTCTGAATATGAGAACACAACATCAGAGGAAAAGTTTTAAAACATGGGTTTGAGTTCTGCTTTCTCACGGCACTATTTTACACGAGACCGTAAGGCTAAATATTTTTTTTGCAAAATATCTATTAGCAATTTTTTAAATCATGGTTCAGTACTAACATGTGGTAGATTTAAAACATGATGGAGCCTTATTGCATTAGATGCCATTAAAACCATGACTGCCAAAGACGACGGCATGAATTTGCAAAACGGTTGATAGGACAGCTTCATTTATGTATTTTTGGGGGTCATTGGGCAACATTTCTTTTTTTTTCAACCTTTGAGCATGTTCAATTCAACCGATCTGAAAGGAAACTAGACTTCTGTACCTCCTCTTGCCTCTGTTTTCAAGCTTTAAAAAAAAACATAGCCTGTGATGAGAGCCAATCACAGAGCTTTTCAAACCAGATCAGGTGAGCGATATAAAGAACAACTCCATGTTAGAAGTAGAACGATGGGGCTGAACAATAAACAGAGGACTTTGACTCAGGAGAGTGTTGAAGTTGAGTGTTTAGCTTTTGCCTTGACTATCTATGCATGATTGAAATGTGTGCAGTTACATTTTTGTTTTGTATTTTTCCAGATTTCTGCCTCCTGCAGGGTTTTTTTTTGTACCCTGGATCTGACATGCTTGTATATCATAAATCCTAAATTGCAGCCTTTGTGATTTGCAAATTATATTGTTTCAAATAATGATTTCCATTTGAAACTGACTAAACATTCAGCTTTACTCAGCTATTGTATAACATCATTCTGCAGTCTATTCTTGGAGTCTCAACAAAACAGCCCTTTTTAAAAGTAGGTGATTCACAAACACATCAGGAAGGTTGCAGACCAGGGTTTACGGTAGTAGTAAAAAAGTCTGGCTACATGAGTATTTTATGTGTTCCCCATTATGTAAGCCTCCCCCAGGGCCTTACCTGAGCCGGGGTTGTGTTTAGCTGTATTGGAGGATGTGTGAGAGGTGGAGGTGGAGGCCACCCTCTGGTCTGAGCTCATGTTGTCCTGGCCCAGTGATGAGCTGGACTTTCTCGGCTTCTTGTCTGTCAGGTGCAGCGGGGAGCTCTTCTTGGGAGGCGGCAGTGGTCGTCGAGGCCTGGCTGTGGCGTTGACCTTCAGCCAGGCTTGAGCTTTATACTCCACAATCTCTCCGTAGTTAGCTCGTGTCACCCGGCACTCGTACAGTCCTTCGTCACTCTTGCTGACTCTGGAGATCTGCAGCTTGTGTGAGATGTCGTTGCCCTGGACTTTCACTGTCTGTGTGAGTAATTAGGAGAGACCACAGTGTCATAACAGTGGATGGTACGATATGATACCACCAAGTTTCATGATTCATCATGTCATTTTATTTTCCAACAGCACTCTTGGATGCGACCACATTTACAGAAAGCTTTCCTTGTATTCTGAAAATAGCCATGAAGCCTGAGACTAACTTATTAAAGTGGTGACACTGGAGCCAGTCTCTTTTGCTTATAAGCTTTAGCACAAAGTCATCTTCGAATGGACGGTTGCGATAAATGTAATTTGATGAGGCAATTTGATAATTAAAGGTAATTTTCTGGAAAGTTCACTGAAAAACGGACTATAGATAAAGTAGCTGGATGGAATGTATGCTTTAGTCAATTTTTAAAATTAAGATACTCAGTCACGGTGACACAGCAATATTGTAAATCCGATATCATCATAAAGCTGTCTTAATCATTGATTCACAGTGTTGCCTGCAGAAACATAGTACAACCAGAAATAAATTGTATAACAGACACCTTAATAGATGTTTTAAAGAAAAATCTGACAGGTCACAAATTTTGACTCTTTCACCACATATATTGTTGAGAGAATCCTTTCATTTAGAAGCAGTGGTGCCTACAAAAAGAAGGGTGTTTCACTTAGATTATTTGGAGCAGGCTGAGTTTATACAGTCACATTTGCCATTTGGTTAAAAACACCAGTTGAAAACAGGAAAATGCCCTGAGAAATGATATCAAAACCTTTAGTAATATTAAAGAAGTCCTATTCCCAAAGGAATTTTGTCAACTATGTGTATCCTAAAACTGAAATGAAGGGTGCTTAGCATATTTTGTTGGTTATTTCAGGGCAAAAATAAATGCAAATATAAAGTGCTGTGCAACATAAAGCTATATTCTTCAAAGGTGCATGTTCTCTGACTGTATTCTTTCTGATGATCCATTTTTCCAAGGAGGATGGTTAAAGAAAAAAAAAAAAACAGTCAGTGGCAAGATAGGAAAACATCTGTCAACTATACACGGTGGTCTGAAATCCACATTTATTAATTAGGGGTGAATGAGTGATTCTGTACGGCTCTGGGAGCAGGGCAGCGGAGTCACTCGGCCATGCATGTTAATCAGGACAGCTCAACTGGTCGGACTGGTGGGGCCACATGAAAGGTTCATTTTTACCAGGTTCACTTGCCAACCTCATCTCCGATATTGGTATAAAACACTGACATGCTTTTAAAAGAAACACAATCATGTTCAGTGGCACATTTTTTTTTCTGTTCACATGTCAGAGGAAGGTGCCTGGGATGGACAACAAGCTTACAAAGCACAACACTTCAACAACGGGGACTACATTTTGCATCCTCAGTCCTGTGTGTGGTTAGGTTTAAGTAATAAAACACTTTGGATTAGGATGAGGGCAAGAGGTTGGATTTGGTTAAATTTTGAAAATGTCAGACTTTTTTAAGATGCAGCTACATTCAGTGTGAAAATGTTGTGACTTTGCAGGCCGACTTTAAATGAAAACATTTGTTAATACTGATGCGAACACCTACTTTCTAAACCTTTCCAACTGCATTATTAACTGAAAGGCACCCTGATTTTTGTGGTTACTAGTGGATGTCTACTGCATTCTTAAAAGAAAATGATGTAATCACATAACTTGGGTATGGTTTAATTGCAGGGGTTGGAAATTTCAAAGGTGAACATTTCAAGTTCTATGCCCGAAGCATTCTGTGATGCTTCGTGCGAGCAATCAGCTCTGCTCACCGCAAGCAGCTCTTCTTTAATTTGGCAGGCAGCATATGAATCTTTGCACCATTGGCATAGTTTAATTGGGTACATTAATGAAACATGATGTTTCAGATGTGTCATTTACTAATTTGGCCAGAGAAATGTACCCTTTGCTATATGCGATCTCATTCTGTTGTCAGAGCATTTACTTCTCTGCCAAGTTGGGGTGCATTAAATTGTCTTGAATTTCCCATTTAAAACTCTGACACTGTTCCATTCTATTTTTTCAAGAAGGTCAGAAATGTTTGAGTTCCAAGTTATCTAAACCTCAGCAGTGCAGTTTTCCTCGTCATTCCTATTGGTAATAATAGCACTGCACCAATTAATTTATGAAATTCAGGAACACAGCTACATTACTAGAAAGACATCTTACAGAAAGAAGAAGAAATGATGACCCAGTTTCTAATAAACTGGCATTTACAAGTTAGCTTGATCTTTAATCTGTCACATTCCATTACACATGACTGTTTGACTATCTGAGGGCTCCAGTGAGATCATTGAGTGGAAGGCTGTGTGGTGCACTGGGCACAAAAAGCACATACAGAGTAGCAGGGGGAAAAAAAGGGGGCGGAATGGTTGCTGGGGCATGAGTGCAGGAAGGGAACCACTCTGACAGTAATAATATACTGCCACTGATTTCACTGATTAGCTCCTTTCTTTGGTTGAAGGTGTATTATTCGAGGAAATCAGCTGCTGTTGTGTTTGCTCGGAATGAAATGCTGCCAGCCTGGGCCATGATGTCACATCGCTGGGAAGCACTGGGCTGAGTTACATGACGCGTTCTTCAACTTACACTTATTTTTGTCCCCTCATCATCAGGATCAGGCTCTGGTATCATCTCCATCTGGAAACACAGAAAGCAAAAAGAAGACTTTTAGCAAAGTGATAGAAGCTTGCTGAATACAGTACAGCTCAAAGACCCACTCTGAGGACACATTCAGCGACATATTTAATGCAAGTCTAGTGTCATATTCTCCAAAACCAACTGTGAGATTACTATGACAACTTTGGGAAAAAGCATCATCTATCCACTGAGGGTTATAAATCTTTCAAACCAACATCAACACACAGTTTACAGACTGAGTGACTGCATTGCTACTGTTCTGCCTTTAAAAGTAAATGCCCCTCTTGCCACTGTTTCTGATTTATTTTTAGATTCTTTTGAGTGCTTCTGTGGAGAAATTAAAGACAGCTTCCAGATGCTGCAATGAATTTAGACGAAAAAAAAGGAAAAAAGTTCAAACCAGGATGTTGTGTGACAAATGAACAGCATCCTGAAACAAATTACTTCCTAAAACCCCAATCAGTCTTTGCAGTAAAAGTAATATTACTCAAGAAACTTAGGGGAAATCATAAAATGTCAGAAGGCCACAAATAGCTTTTTACACAAGCCCCCAAAACATGGTGAATAGCACCATAGCTCCTGGGTTCAAGAAATGCCTCAGTTTGAGCCATGCTGGCATAATTCTAGCATGGTGGCAAGCACTAAGCCTACAGCCTACATCATGGACTGGGCATTGATTTTAGAGGCTATAATTTATTTATCCCACATCGGATGCCAAATGGATGTGTGCCCGGAATAAGAAAAAAAAAAAAAAAAAAAAAAAGACAGAAAAGGCTGCTGACTACAAAGCTGTAGCGGAGTAAGAGCGGGACAGCAGACAAGGCTTGAGAGGAGGAGGAGGAGGAGGAAGTTTCTCCAGAGGACATGGAAGCTATTGGCTTCACGATTGAGACAAAAAAGGAAGGGCAAGAGAGGGATAAGATGGCTACTTATGAGCGTTTGCTGCAGAGAGCGTTCCTTCAAGTGCTGTAATTACCTCGGAGGAAGCGGGGCGCTTTTCTCTAGAGGATGTTCGGCAGACAGGTGATTAATGAGCAGAATTAGGAGCCATAGCTTTCGCTGTCTGCATGTATGCACGACTCCTACATCGTGACTTCACAGATGGACCTGGCATCCTCTATTGTATCAAGGAGACGTCTTTAACTGCGAGGCAGGATTAATTGTCCTCTGTCGCGGTGTTGGGACTGTTTCAAGTCATCAATTTCAGCCCCCTCTTTTACAAACCACTATAACAGTGGTTATATGGGCTGGGTGTGCAGTCTATATATGTCACCTGAGGAGGATCAAGCTAGACTTCCACTGGAGGACACATATTCTGGTCTACACAGAGTGGCTGCTGTGTTCAGGAAATCATAGAGGAAAACGGTTTAATTGCTTTTCAAACGTTTATGTAAAATACTATGGGGCTAGTACAATGGCTTTTCATCACAACACAGCTGAACTGTGTTATTTTTCAGTTTCCAGCATGTAATCGATTAGTGGATTGAATGGTTTTAATTTTTTGTTTTAATTACGATCCTTTGCTGAGCATGTTGTCATCTCTCCACTGATTAGTCACTTAGGTAAGAATGAGTCTTAGGTGACCTTTAGCACTGATACAAGGGATGTCCGTCTCAAAGTATCCAACTAGTTTGGTTATTAATTTGAACTCCAGTGTCTCATGTCACACTGGTGTCATAAAGGGAGAGCACAATTACTGGTTGGGTGTGATGGATTAAACAGTGTTTAACAATTGTCAATGGTCCACAAAGACGGCTGTGTCATATCTGCCACTGGAATGGAGGAGAGCTGTTCTATGCCAGTGAGCAACACAGAAGTCTTTGTCATGGTGGCCCATCACTAGCTAAAAACCAGTTGGAAGCTCCACCTGCTGACACATACAGATACTACAGCTAATCTACTGATACATTTCAGTTTTAACAATGAACAAAATGTTTTCTGACATGTATGCATAGAATACATTTAGAGCCTATAGAGCCCCGGTACACTTTACCCTCTCTACGCTACATTCCAGACAGCGTCCCACTATACAACGTAGTTCATGACCACCTACGCAACATTAAAATAGCTTGTGTGCAGAAATGCATTTTTTTTCTTCTTAATGCACTGCAGAGCCGCTCAGTTGTCAAGCATATACATCAGATGGATTGTAATTATGTTAATGTACTTGAAGAATGTATTATCTAGGAAAATGGTATCGGATTGGGACTCGGTATTGGCAGATGCAAGATATTTAATGACTCAGACTGGCAAAAATAACTTCATCAGGGAAATTTGTACGATTCCTGTCTCAGCTGAGTGTTTTTAGCATTCTATGTATCTCCTGCTACTTTCTAGCTATCCATCCATTTTCTATACACCGCTTAATCCTCATTAGGATCGCGGGGGGGCTGGAGCCTATCCCAGCTGACTTAGGGCGAAGGCAGGGGACACCCTGGACAGGTCGCCAGTCTATCGCAGACGCGAACCGTCTGCTGCGAGGCAACAGTGCTACCAACTGCGCCACCTTGCAGCCCCACTTTCTAGCTACACACAAGATATACTCAAACTTTCTTTCTTGTGTTGGTCACCTAACTCCCCACACTGGCCTGTCTGTCATTAACTCAATCCTAATACACACCTTACCTGTTTCCTGTTCCCCATTCAACTTACAGTATGTATACTCGCCTTACTCTGTTGTTACACCTGTTTTGTTCTATTGTTTGTGTCGCTACTTTAAATAAAGTCACTGAACTTTTCTTGTCTTTCTGGTGGCCTGCTTTTGGGTCCTCCTTCCTGTTGCCTGTTACATTCTCATCCATATAATCATACGATTTGAATTAGTAATCTAATGTACAATGTCAAGCACGCTGTTTCACTCTTAACATGTTTTTACCAGGCAGCAAGAGACACAAAGACATTTAAATGTAAACTAGTTTTTAATGAAGATAAAAACCGTTCATTCCAACTGCTCAGATTTCAAATGCAACCACAGACATCATCGGGTAGACCTGAAAATAAGCGCCTCATCATTTGCTATATCCTGTTCTGACTCATCAAAGCTCTGTTGTAATAAATTCTTTAACTACTGATAATTACAAATTAATGTCATATTGTCTGGGAGCATCGTCCTACTCTGTTTTTGTCTCTTTGATTTTGTCATTGTCTTTATTATTCTAAACTCTTTTGATGCTAACTGAGGAAAAGCAACAAAGCGTTTCGAAGCGTTCCATAATTTAAATTAGCTCCGACTCCTAGCCTTTTTGTGTTCTTCATGACATTATTTGTCAGTATTGGTGCACATATTAAAAAAATTCTAATATTTCAACTCACCTCCTTTTCTCTGGGTTATTGTACATAGATTGTGTTCATGTAGCCCCTGAAGTTAAATCCAAAACTGCCTGAAACATGTTGCATGTTATTGATGTTAATGTATAGATTCCTACTTTCCCTCAGGAAATATCTTTCTGCAACTTAACTATTGTAAGGAATGTTCATCTTCTTTAAAACCAAGTGCCACAGTGTGTCTACAGTTAGTCTAAATCCATTCAGCAGCAAATTTACTAAGACTCCACAGCACCAGTATCACTCCAGCCTGGAGTCATGAAATGACTTGTGAATAACACGACAAGTTACTTTGTGTGTTTTTAGACTGGCAGACAGTTTTTGTGTGTTAACCCTCACCGCAACCACGTTAAAAGCTTAAAATGTAAAATGCATTAAATATTTCGATACAACAAACAAAACTTGTCTGAAGTGGTCTGCTATCTATATGCAATCCCCAGATATCACATTAATCATCCATATCAGGTGTTGGCTTTGGTAACTGGGTCCTTGACGAATTTCAGATTAATTTTGACACCCCATTAGTTATTTTTTAAAGCCCTGCACAGTTTGATTCCACAATATATCCATGAGCTGTTCAGCTCTTATAAGCCCACCAGGCCTCTTAGTACATCAGGACAGAGGTTCCTGATGTTGCCTCACTGAGAGCTGAAAACTCACAGTACATGAGTGATGTCTTTTCTGGCTCCTAGGTTGAGGAACAGCTTCCATCTTGGCATCTGAATAACAAACTCTGTTGAATGCTTTTTTTCAACAGCCCTTCCTCTAGAAGATATGTAAGCTGCTGCAGATAAATATGGAAACATGGTGTGTAAAAGTAAAAAGTCTGGTATGATAGTATACAGAGTTAGGTAAATTCCAGTTAATGTCTTCTCCTAGTCTAGTTAAAGTTGACCTTTTTATTTTAAAATATCTTCTCTCAAGCTAACTGAGTGACTCCAGTTGCCTAACTGTAACCATATTTCAGCTGTCATACGCAGATATTACTGAAGTGACCAATGAACAAACATTGGCAGTGAAAACTTTTCAGATGTGTAATTACTTGAGTACCCTGAAGAGAGTAAATATATTGGACATCAGAGATATGGCTGCTTTATTGTTTCTGCATGCCTGAAGGTTCTATAAGTGGTGCTGGCCAAAAATAAGCAACTGGATCTTTCCTAATGCTATTTCTGATGGTTCAATACAAATCAAGTCTGCGCTGGTCTGTGCTGCCTCCAAGAAATAGCCATATACTCACACTCTAAAGTCCAACGCTGACAAGAGCTTTCGCTTTCTCCTGCCTATTTAAACCTTAAATGGCATTACAAACTCATTCAGTTCTGTGTGACAAAGTTGAAGTTTAAGCAGTGCAGCTCGTGACTCACCCTCAGGGCTTAATGTGGCTGTATGCACTCACGGCTGTGACTATTCACTATTTCAGACCTGTGTGAACTGTATACATGACTCAACTTGACCTGACTTGACTTGACTTGATATCAGCTCTCGTTCAGAGCTGCTGCCCTCAGCACTTCTTGTACATGTTGAACTACAGCTCCGAAAGTACCAAAGAGCCTTTGTAGAGCTTAGGACCATCTGGGCTCATCAGATTCATTCATGTACCAGATTCACAGTAGGTTTGGTGTGTTTGTCCAACATCCCATGTCTGCACAAGTTATTAGATTCATATTTTGGAG